ACTTCGATCCTTAAGAACCTCCTTTGTCTGTGTCAAGTAATTCTTGGCATCGCGCTGTATTTATGATGCTAAGAATTGGCACAATACTTGAGTATGGCTTACGGAAGTTGTTATACAGTTTACGGCTTACTACGAGTTGTTCTGGCTATAAAAAAAGTCGCCCTTTTGTTCAGCTTCTATTTTTTATCCCAAAAGGAACACTTTCACATCCGGTCTTGTAGAAATTAGTGACATAATACATGAGAAGGATAAAACTTTTTGGCGTTTGTCAAGCCCATTTTGGGATGCGCCGCGCACTCGACCCAATTCAAAGTCGTGGTAATGTTTCGAACTATGAGGCGTGAATGATTTGAAAGAACAAATCAGTCTGCCCCCCTCCAGACGGGTAGGCTAGGTGATTTCCTCCTAGTTCCAACTCGGTGGTGTGGATTTTGGCTATGAGCCCTTGCTTTATCCCTGCAATCTCCTATAAAAGCTTTACTTGGCACTTGCCCGTAAGAGTGTAGAATGGGAGAAAAATAGTGGCTGGAGGTAACGGTGCAATCAAAGGGTATAGAATCAAGATGCAATAAAAGGGAGAGAAAGGGCACAGGGAGTTCAAAAACTCGCTTGAAGAAAGATGCACTCAGAACTTCTACACCAAACAAGGCAGTTTTCTAAAAAGGATAGGGAGATAAATGATAGCCGAGAGGGAACCATTTATAACGGACATGGAAAGCAAAAGAAAGCGCAATGGACTCCGGACGGTCCGCTGAGACCTGAAGAACGTCAGAGAACATCGAGTTCCGCAAAGATTTGTTGTCAGCGTGTGAGGGTGTGGTCGTCCTCAATTTTAGTTTTAATTTCAACACCATTCATCTGGAACAGGCCTCGAAATACATAGTTTTCCACCCACGTCTAGTTAGTATAGCTGATACGGTGTTTCTATTTGTTCGTGCCCTTTCACAAATGGATACTAAGCAACTCGAAGTGGATACGCTTGATTTTTACAGTATGTTTTACTTACAGGACTTCTTGGAACGAATGTATGACCTCAAGTTCAAAGGCTTTGCGACGATTTCTCGGAAAAAACCACATATGAGCGTTACCGATTCTGAAATATGTCTATGGCATTGTAGAGGTTGTATCGATTACAAGGGAACCCATGTAGGAAGTTCATGCAACTTATCATGTCCCATAGCGACAGTGGCAGGAAGTTCTGAACAGTTCTGGCTCGATTTAGTCAGCTCTTTGCACAATTGCATCAATTGAAATCTCGTCCGAGTAGCCCTTCCATGTTATTTACGTCATGGTAATCTCGTCCAACCTTTGTTTTCCTTACGTTTGAGGGACCACATTTTTTTCAAAGTCGGCAAATTTTCTCCCTTTCTTCAGTACCGATGAACTATTCCGAAAGTGTACTTCCGTTTTTTCGAGTAAAACGGATACCTCAAATTAAGGTGGTGCCTCCAAACTTCCTGAACGTATCGGCAAATTTGTTTCGCAAGGATCGTAACGTTCTGGGAGGTCGATCATCCTTTCAACTTTTTCTTTTCAACGTCTGGGGATAATCCGCTCATCATTTCAGATTGCACTACGAAAATAAATGAGTCATCATCGGATTACACTAAGGCTATTTGCGTTGTAACTCGGTAGAGGTGACGAAATGTACTTGAATCACAGCTCAAGCATATACTCATCTGTTACACTGAGTTCCAAAGCTCTAAATTGTGCCTAGAATAAGGGACCAAGAGAAGAAAATGGTAGGGCTCGGAGGGAAATTCGATGAAAACTCTTTAGCTCCGATTCGTTCATGGGAGATGAGGGAGGAGGAAGAATGAAGCAGCTAGAAAGTTCGATACCTCTGAAGCCGATCGCTTCTTGCATTGTCTATACCAAACCGCACAATGGTGTCGTTGAGTCATTATTTATTCAGTTGTTTACATATGATTCAATAAGATCTAAAACCGATTTTGCAAGGGCATAGGAACGAAATTCGTCTGCACCACTGGAATTTCTATTTCCCATGGAGAAAGTACGTTGCTATGGGTGTCACAGCTTTTTTTCCGAAATCTCATTCTTAATGTCAATAGGAATGACTAAAAATGGTAGCGGATCCATTTATAACTCAAGTATAGCCATACATCTGCGTGTTTGGAGATGACTTCGTGTCCGATCGTACCACTCTCTCCTTTTCTGTTGGTGGGTAACGATTCCTGGACAGAGAGTGGATCAAGCTCCGCCTGAAAAACGCTGTGGGAATCGCTCATACCGCCCGATCCACTGATATGTGTTCACCTGCTCTAGACTTCCGTCCATACAGTCGATTCCGATTCGGTCTCGAACGAATAGCCTTGGTGAGTATATCGGCGATCAATCAGCGTCATGTTCGGACATCAGCGTTAGCGATGGGGTCTGACCATGACTCACCCGGCCGACCCCGTTGCATACGACGCTCCACTGGCCAATCGCTACTCATCGAGCTATTCACATGATCTTATCGAGTATTGTTCGACGGCAAATCGATTACATTATTGGGTTTATTCAGTGATTATTTCACCGCTATTCGTGGTCTCCCGTTTCCTTTCCGGTACTTTGAGACAGTCGAATTACCTGGACTTGTGTATTTCGGACATTTTTGTTTGTTTGTTTGTTTACATTGACAGCCAATTACTGCGATCTTTGTGACATTCGAGATCTCATCCTTTTCGCAAATCCTCCACACAAGATGGCTCTTTCTCTGTCGACATCGCGTGATGTGATACTCATCTACTTTGGTTTGAGTTTGAATCAGCTAGGGTAAAAGTATTTGTCCTGACAACGTCCTCAAAAATGTTTTGTCGGTCGAATGTCTGTCAGAAATCAAAAATATTTAGGTAGATTTCATGCCCACATATAATTGCGACCTTCGGGATTGGTGGTCAGTCCTAGGCTTCTTTTCGATCCTTCGTTTGGCACTGGTTCCACAGGGTTCATAGTAATGAAATGAAAAAAAATGTATTCTATAGGGAGTTGCACAGTTAGTTCTGAGGACGGGCCTCCTCAAGGGTAGCGCGAAAAGCTCCCGTGCCCCTTGGGAGATAACAAAGCTTACTGAGATCTGTACTTCATAATTAGGGAAATTAAGAGCTCCACTAATAATCCAACATGCCTCTTAAATAGGAACTATTAAACGAGAAAGCTTTTAGGACAAATTCTGCATGAGCTATGACAAGAGTAGAGCCATCTCGAGCGTATAGTTAGCTTAAACCCGCTGTCTGGCCGTGCCACGCTACTTTAGTCTGGAAAAAGTGGCACTAAAACATTCCAATCACTCCATTCGTCCCATCACCAACGTAGTCAAAGCTATTATTCTAATTAGGCTCAAATATACTACCCGGTTACTAAGAAGTATGGGGTATTTGAATTGTAAATTTATGAATAATTAAATTTAAGGTTGAAGAGCCGAAATCAGCGACAGAATTTATCTCAGGCGTGTTCCACCTCTAGTGGATGTCTGCTGGTGTTCATAATCGTAACGGGAGGTCCGGAAAGGCGAAATCATGTCTCATCATTCGACAGACTCATCTCATAATGAACAATCACATTGTCGAATGGAGGTCAGCTGACGGCAGATTGTGCTCAAAAAACGGTCTGCCATTCTCCCTCCGCTATTTCTAACACTAACTGATTCACTCGGAAACTGGAATGATGTTGGTGGATGAGCAGGGTCGAACTAACGACAGGGTGAAGAGCCCTTAGTGCCACCATGATCTCCATTCAAACTCATTTGGGGTCGATATCAAGCAATATCACAGAGTATTCACAAATCTTTCCTAAATAATTCCCGACGCTATCGGTTTCAATGTCCACATCCAGTGCCGTTACGTTCTAGCCTGCTAGCAATTCATTTGACTCATTTCCATGGTTACAATGTTTGCCTGAAATGAGATTTATGGCCTGTAGGCCTATGCATACCACCTTTCTCGAGGCTCGTCTTCGAATTCGTACAGCCATAAAGTGCAGAGGTGTTATCTAAGGAATCCGACGTTTTCAGAAAGGAGCTGAAAGGAAAGGAATTACATGGCGTGGGACACAGTCTTTCAAAGCCTTTCCAGGCTCCCCAGCTTTTTCGTATTCCCAACCCCCCTCCCTGAGACGCTCTTTGTAGTCGTTCTCTCGATGGAGTTCGCTCGCCCTCATGGCAGTTTGGATCCAAATTCTTTTGGGACTTGGAAGTATCTCGAAAAAAAAAACTTGGTCCATCCGTGCGTATTCTAGAGTAAAGAGGGTCATGTCTGTATATCATGTTTTCCCCTCCCAGAATTGTCCATCCATGAGGCTGTCTCGTGATTTCCATTTCAGCATCGAACAGCTTAACAACTGACTTTTAGGGATTTAGACATCAACACCATTTGTTTACATGCGGCACTTCTGCGGCTGAGACCTTTCGCTTTCTAATAGCTACGCAGCGTTCCATACTAATCTTTACAGCAGAGTCCTTACTTTCATTGAAGAATCCCTCGAACTAACTTACAGCCGCTTCATCGATTTTTTTCCCAAAACGTGCTCCGTCCTTAGGGAGCTTTGTTTGCAGTCACTGATAAGCACCTCAGCGTCATTCCTTTGTCATCTCACCGACAAACATTTATGGGAAGTCCTTACTGTGACTACCTGTGTTATAGAGTTGTTAGGTGATCCCTGCCGAATCTTGGCCCTACAGCGATTTCTCGTTACTGTGATGTATAGCGATTTATTCAAAGAACTGGGTAAAAGTATGCAAAGAGCTTCAGGAATCAACAGAAGCTCGAGTTCTTAGCTCTTCCATCCTATCCACTTACCCTACTGATAGTCATGAAAGGCCTGAGCCATCGTGGAAGTCTAACCTTACATGACGGCATGCTGGTGGGGTCTTTTCCTCCCCTTCCCCTTCTCCCTTGTCCCCCTTTTCGAAAAAAANAAAAAAAGGCTGAGAATGACTCTAAAAGGATGCTCTCTACAATCTTGAGACATGTTTTCGTTGACTGGCAATCAGCCAGAATTCAGAATGTTTTCGCCGACTCTCCGTCACCCCATGTGCCGTCCGCTGTCTCTTCCATGATGCCCTTTACGTAAGGCGTGTGAGTGATGGCACCCTTTGTTTGTGGGGAGCGTATTGGCTGTTGACGAAACAAACACTGCTCAATTTTCCATCCTTCTCTGACCTGCATTGCTGTATCAACGCCTTTAGCACCATCCCTTTCACGGTTGATAGGTCGGATCTTGCTGTCACTCAACAAGCCTTCCATCAATTTCAGGTATATATCGAAGGTGCTGCAAGTGATAGTTAGAATGAAGTACCTGATTGAATAGCCCACTGAGCTCTTGAATACTGTCTCGTCCCACAGTCCTGGCAGTCTGCTTTTCTTGTCAGCTGACATCACTTCATTTTCTTTGCCTTGCCATTTCCAGCGTGTCCCTTGGAGGCCTGGAACTTGTATGAGGACGCTTCACAAGATGACCAACCTCTTGAGAACTTCCAGTTAGCAATCCGACATCCAGAGTCCCGATTTGAATTGGTAGCCCTCGCATACTGTCCACTGAACTCGAGCGAGGGCTTTGTGCGCCATCCGTGGGACGTACCAGCTTAGCTTTATAAGCTGCCTCCCTTATGGAAACTGGTCAAGTTCGATTTTATGAGTTTCTACGTCAACATAATTTTTAGCTGTACCGCCATCATTTTTGCAAACTTTGCAGGACATGATTTCTGCCATGCAGGGTTCGAACTCGTGATGTCTCTGAGTGCCGACATGAGCCTATGCTCTTGACCACTAGGCTATCCTTACCTCTCAAAATGAATTTTGCATTACAATATCATCATCTGATCGATTTGGGGTCGTGATTGTATGCAGCTCAAACTGCTCACCGTTCCATGGAATCGATAATGACTCACCGACTTTCATTTATCTCAGACCATGCCCTATTTGAGCCGCATTACACCAGCATGGGCTAACACGAGGGCCCCACAAGTCGGTAGTCACGAAAGTTGGTTCTTCTTCTGAGTCTTTGACCGTCATGTCTGTAGTCTATAGTCCTGTTGATTTTCCCCGTAGGTTTAAAGCTGTGTGGATGATTAGTTACTTGAATGCCTCGGAGAAGGCCCTCAATGTCGGAGCTTCAATCGGGTGGAACTGTAGTTGCAAAATTTTGGTGACAGCGGAATAACTTAATCAACAATGCCGCATGACTTCTATCGAGATATCGTTGAAGTCTGGCGTCTCCCAAAAAGGTTGGCCTATTCAAGCACTTTGTCCTCATTTCAGAACCCTGACCTTTTTCTGGGAAGGATGTATGAGAATATGTATAAAAGTCGCAGCATCCCTTGATATGACGAACGATCTAGGGCAATATGCGTTCATAACATTCCAAGGGCGTCCAATTCGACACACGCCTGGTAGTGTGAACAATGTGGGGACCAGCAACCAATATTTGTCGTCCTCTCGGCCATTTCTCCCTCACAACTGAGTTACGATAAGAGGAGGAACGATGTTGGGACCAAGCTTCCCTACTGATATCCTAACCGCACTAATGTTGACTCAAAATGGTGAGAGCGAATGTGCCCCGACTGTATTTATGACCTTAGCCAGCTGGGGGAACGAAAGGATAACTATCAGTTTCCTTCGGTCGAATTTGATGCTCCCATCTTTAACCAGTAGGTGTACTACTAAGCTGTTAATGAGTAAATCCGACGGTATTTCTTTTTTCTTTTTTATACATGGGATAGCTCACTTTTTTTTGCTAAACATTTTTTTAAATTTTGTTCTGCTATTGGTTTCATCTATTCTCACATGCTCTGGTCGCTGCCAACGATTTCAGCTCATTGTGGAGTCCTGAACGAATGTATGATATTGAGGAAAAGATGCCCCAGCAGGTTGTTCGCTTTTATCACTTGGGCACCGACGACGACCGTTCCCACAAGGCGCGACAAGATAAGCGATAATCCACAGAGTTGGACACCTCTTGG